AATAACAATAATCCTTCCATTTGATGTAGCGCTTTATTACTTAATCTCAAATAGCTTCACAGAATATATTGTAATGTGGATTGACCGTATTTCTGTGGGCAAAACGAAGACGATTGCGCACAGACTATCCCACAAACAGTCATGGATTCAGTGACTCCCAATTTATTTTTTGTTTGCTTGAGGAATTATTACCCCGGGGAAAGCGATTTGCCAATCGAATAAAAACCAGGTTCTTCCTTACTGCTAGGTAAACAGAGGCGTGTGGAGTAAAGAAACTTGCCGAAGGTTTTTCCCGGCAGGCTTTCAGCCATTCTGCCCTCATTCCTTGAAACTCCCTCCCTCTGACTCGCCCACTCCCTCAGTTTAAGGCCCATCTCATAACGTGTCTCTTGGTCTGCGCTTTCAGTCATCTTTCCCTCCCACCTCCTGCTTGGGTGCCGAGTCAACAGAGTCGAACACTTTGAGACATCCTCCCAATGTGAAAAGCATTGTATAAATGTGTAGTGTATTTATAGGTTCATTTTTAACAATGTTGGGAATATGGAAATGTAGTGGAGAGGGAGGGAGAGACCAGTACTATCTTTTTTTTAAAAAAGTCTGTCCGGTAAAATAAAATATTCACTTGGAAATATAGTCACAACGTTTCACATTAAAATCTATAATAACTTTGAGACATCTTGACGATGTGATAAGGCGCTTTACCAAATACGTGATTATTATTATAAAGCACATTGCACATTGCTTTCACCCATTAGTTACTTATACAAAGTGGGATCATCGTGTCGCTTGAAGTGACTGACTGAAGCAAGTCCTTTAAGTTCAATCATGCTTTTAGTCAAAGACTTATCGCAATCTCATGTTAAAAAGCTTTTTTAAAATAAAAGGCCTCGTTGGCTATGTTGTGGTGTGCCAGCACCCTGGAGGACATCTATTGTTTACATGGAAAGCACAAAAAGCTTTACAAGCGAAAAATTAGTCAACAGTTGATTCAGTTGTCAGTGTGTGGAGAATTGCTCAACACGGGAGAGGGGGTTCATCTTAAACAGGACGTGGAAAAAGGTGTCGATCGACCAAGAATAAGTATGGAAACAAGAGGCTTGCCAGGCTGAAACCCTCTGTGTTTTTCCTCTCCTCACCTATAACTTTCCTGTTAAGCTTGCATTGATATAGTGGTGCTCATGTAGGATGGCGTTACAATGTCCAGGGTCGGGTCGCTGAATAGGGCACAGGGAGGAGGAAGGGAGAGGTGATCATAGGTGCGATGGAAGCAGGATTTAAAGACCAATAGAAACCAACTGAAGCTAGATTGTCGTTACCCCGTAATCTTCCATGTATCTATTGTTCTCTACTTCATTGTTATACTGTTCGATTTGTCCGTGATGAGCATTTTTCTTTTTAAAATTGTTAAGTTAAACAATGCTTTACACTTGCATCTGACATACCAGGGATCTTAGGATACTTTCACTCTGCAGCATAAAGGCCTTTTGAAGTCTTTTCACTCTCACCCTCATTGTATCTGCATGTTACTCTATTGTATCGGGCTTTCAGAGAGCCTTTCATCGCCTTGGAAGAGAAGTCCCTCGTGACTGATGGAGCTCATTGCGATGGTTGAAGGTTTATGTTGGTTTAGGTTAAGCAAAGAGAAAAAATTTTCCCCCCACCAAAAAAAAACCTGTACAAATATTTTCATTAAGGCCAGCATGTGTCTTGCATTTGAGTGTTCCTCATCACACCAACTGTGAGAGAGTGCAGGAAATCTCATGTTTGGGACATCCTCCTGACGTGAAAGGCGCTATACAAATGTCATTTGTTGTTGTTTGTTTAACCCCCCACTCACATCCCTTAGGAAGTCACTCAAAACATCACTGGGTTGAGCACCAAGCGATATAGTAATGTCAGCAGTTAAAGGCAGGATGTTTTTGCTCTGGAAGATGAACAAGAGGGTTCTTATTTCATTTTTCTTCCCTTTTTCGGTGAGCTCAGCAAAATGGTTTACAATAATTTAACGTCGGGGGTGAGGGGAGCAGTCAAGTCCAAACCTGCTTTTAAGTGTAATTAGATTTTCTAAAACAAATATTGTTGGGAAATGTGAGGTTTATGATAATGTAGCAGAGAGTTCAGACATGATTGAAGCCAGACTGTTGGGTTTCCTGTTACAGGCTGAGGCCAGTTCTCTGCAGTGATTCACAAAGCACCTCGCTGCCTTTTTTGTTGTTCACCCGAGATGCTGAACTTTGAAGCTGACTCCGACCTACTCCATGTCCCCCGCCCTGCCTGCCCCACCATCGGCAGTCAGTCAAGGTGGGGTCTGTTTCCTTGAGTTTAGAAGGTTGAGGGGTGATCTGATTGAGGTTTTTAAAATAGTAAAGGGATTCAATAGCTACAGAGAAACTATTTCCTCTGGTGGGGGAATCCAGAACAAGGGGGCATATTCTTAAAATTAGAGCTAGGACGATTAGGAGTGAAATTAGGAGGCAGAGGTGGATAGATATTTGTTATGGGGCAAGGGGGGTAATTGGACATGAGGTACAGATCACCCATGATCTTATAGAATTGCGGAACAGGCTCGAGGGGCTGAATGGCCTACTCCTGTTTCTGTGTTTCTAAGTCCTCTAAATATTCAGTGACAGCAAGGTGGGAAGTGTTTGGGGGGAGACAGAGAGAACAGTCAAAGAGAGATTATCGGAAAGATTTGCAGTCCAGAATTCTGCAACCCTTGTTTTCTCCTACACCAGTCTCCGCGATCCCATCGCCCATGTCCTCGATCGGCTCCACTGTCCAGCCCAGTTTGAAAACTGGGAGGATTGGTGGGTGTGTGTTGGAGGCAGTTCCAGAAAGTGGGGTCATAGTGGTTAAGGAAGCTCAGCTACCCGTGTGGGGGAGGGGAGAGTGGACAGTGAGCAAGGGATGGTCAGCAGGTTTGCTAATATGGGATTGTTCTGTGGGTGGTTTCACTTGCTACTCAGGTGGCCTCTGATGCTATGAGGAATTGATGTTCTCCAGCAGCCTTCCCTCCCCCAGATGCACATAGCTGTCTGTTTTTCTAAGCTGCGTCATTATCCAGATTAATGAGAAAAGTGCAGTAAGAGTTTGCATTGCCAAATCCATAGCATTCAAAATTGCTTTGGGCCCTTGTGGGTCATTTGTATATTGTTGCTCTTTGGGCCCGCCTGGCTCTGAATGTCTTTGCTTCCTGGAGATCCAGTTTCCTGATGAATTCCCAGAGCGTTCCCCCTTACCCTCGTCCTACCCTTCGTCCCCCCCCACCTCCCGCTTACAGTCACAGGGCTGGTGGGAGGTTCTCCAGACCACCCAGTGTGACTCCCCCTTGGGCTTCTCCCTTTAAAAATCCCTCCAAAACAAAACAATAATAAATTGGTCATTTTCAATCCACGACTGTTTGTGGGACACTGCTGTGCGCAATTGGCTGCCGTGTTTCGCCCACAAATATACAGTCAATTCACTTTACAGTATATTCTGTGAAGCGCTTTGAGACGTCTAGAAGACGTGAAAAGCGCTATATCAAATGCAAGGATTATTATTAATATAGCAAACCTCTGTTCAGTGAGGCTCTGGTTGAAAATCGAGGCAAACCGAGCATATCTGTAATGCTCTGCGACAGCATTGCTCAGCGCCTGCGTGCCCTGTTCTGAGGCTCAGCGAATAAGATGTATAACAGTGCTTAAAGCCCTGAATCTAAGGTTGTTGCTCTCCTCGTTCTGTGAGTTCAGGGTCCCTGTCGTGGCAGATTTGAGCAAAATCTAAATGTGTATCATTTGTGACAGATACACAGCTGTGCGAATATTTTTGGAGTGTGTGGAGGGTGGAAAAGGTTCTGTTAATGCCAGTGCAGTCAGAAGTGTCAGTGTAACCAATGCACTGGGAGTGGATATCCCAAGTCGGGGTGGGCTGAAAACTCAGTCTTATCCTCCAAGGGCTGCAGAATGAAAAGCAGCTGCAATTTCAAATGGTGATTGACTTTTAAAGTTAGCCATGCAGATGGTTCCAAATGATAAAATAGTCTGATGCTGATAAACCGAAACAGATTAGGGCAGACTAATGTGTCCAGTGGAAGATTGATCACTGCAGAGCAAATGTCTGTGCTAACGTGAGCCTGCATGTTCAGCGTTAGATGACGCACAGTCATGTACAGTCTGTTTTTCTAAGCTGAGTCGCTACCCAAATCAATGAGAAAAGTGCAGTGAGATTGTTGCGTCACTCTCAGCCCCACAACCCGCCACCCAGCGAGAGTTTGCATTGCCAAATCCATAGTATTCAAAAAAGCTTTGGGCTGGGCTGAGAACTCACTGTTAGTCTCCAATATGGACAAGAAGGTTATCGAGGATGAAGATGGGGATTTGGTCTGAAAGTTGCTGCTCTCCTCATTCTGTGAAGAGCTTTGACACATCTCGAAGACGTGATAAGGCTCTATATCAAATGCAAGGATTATTATTATCTGTAATGGCTACACACTCTTTCTGAATGTTGTATTTAAAAAAAATCATTAATAATTAAAATCTATGAGTAATTCACCCTGTATGTACAAGTTTTGGAATTGTGATGCAGTGCTATGCGTCTTCTTTTCTTCTTCTGAGCGCTGGCAACTTTCGGAGAATAGTTTCGGGCCAACAGTGTGTGGTAGCAACAGAGCCAGTCTAAGCTTTCAGTGTGTATGTTTTGATGGGCATGTTAATCCTCCAAGGCCAGTCTCCCTGATTCTGCATTTCACTGGGGCGCGCCCTGGGACGCTACCCTGTGTGAGGGGCACTATATAAATGCATGTTGTTGTTGTTCTTGTTCCATTGCCCAGAGCAAACCGTATACCAGAGAAATGAAACACAAAAATTTATCTGTGCGAAGTTGCTTGTTTGAAAAAGGGGGTTGCAAAGGGTGACGCTCTCCCTTTGAACAACATTGCTTTTATTTGATTGTTAAATCAATAGACATGTCGATCTGGTTCTGTTTTTCTGACCCTCTGTTGGCTCTTGCTCTCCCTGTAGGTGGAACGAGACCAGATACCCCCAGGACACACCATCAGTCAGTTTGAAACCTGCAAAATCAGGACAATCAAAGCGGGGACATTGGAAAAGCTCGTCGAGAATTTGTTAACTGCCTTTGGGGACAATGATTTTACCTATATCAGTATATTTCTGGCAACGTACCGAGCGTTTGCCTCTACAAAAGATGTACTGGAGCTATTACTGGACAGGTGAGGATACACTCAATTTGTGGTTAAATAAAATCGTATGGTGCAATATAGGGTTTCCTCAAACTTTCAACTCTTTACAATTTTTTTAAACAAACAAAGGTCATCGATAAGTGAGTGTCTGATAATTAATCTCCTCTTTCTGAGTTACTCCCTTACGTTTCCCATCTGTTGCCTTCCTGTCAGTTTTCCTGTCCTCCTGCACAGTCTGGACGACAGACGTCTCCACATGCAGACAACAGCAGCGCTGCTCTCAAATGACCGCCAAGATGCACAGACGCATAGAAGCTTTGTGGGCTTGGATAGATTCCGAGGCTTCTCTCTCTTCCTTTCCCCTCCCCCTTCCCACGCCGTTCTGTTCTCTGTCGAAACAAAAATGCCCATTGGGAATATCAGAGTTCAGATGTCACTTGTGACTGAGATTCACACGCAGGGATCCCCCCCACAGGGGAGACCAGTGCTTTGCTATCAGAGATACAAGAGAATGCTACCCAGCAGCTCTTTAACCCTTTACTGACCCATGTCCTCTACAGATATTCATTGAACCCATTGGTATGAAATAAGATCCCATGGAGCTATTCGGAAAAGAGTTTCTCCTGTGGTCCTGGCCAACAAAATCCCCCAAATAAAATTGTTCATTGACTCCATGGCTGTTTGTGAAACATTGCTGTGTGCAAGTAGGCTGCTGAGTTTGCCTACAACATACACAGTCGCTCCACTCTACAGGATTACCTGTGAAGCACTTTGAGACACCCTCACAGAGTGACAGGCAATATGCCAGATGCAAAGATTATTAATAAAGAATTGGATTTGTTACGACCATCTGCTGAATTTCAAAACAGGACCATTATTCACACCGGAAGCTCATGAGCGACACTCTAGCAATAAATAAAGGATCAGTTTAAAAACCTATATAAATTTGCCACTTCCCCAACTACCTGTCAACCAGGTTTTTCAAATTACTGTTTAACTTTGACCCCCATCTTCTCCTTTTCTCCCATGAGACCAGCTTCCTTGTCTCTCTACCAGAATGAACTTCAGCCTTCTGTATGACTGCTATTAATATCTAACCAAAAGGTTGTACTTCTTACTTTCTCCCGTTTTCCACACTTCCATCAAAAACAAGAAATCCCAATCATCTGATCAATGGCACAGAACTGGGTAAAACACAAACTGATTGTTCCGAGGCAGATACTGGATTCAAATCCATGAACTATTTGTAGAAGTTCAAATACACTATTAACGCTTCTGCTACTAAAGAGCCCCTTTTGTAATGTATTTTACATTTCTTTCCCAACTGCAATACAGATGTTCTTTTCCATTTTTATCCCTTCCAATAGTGTACTGTAGACTTAAAATGAGAGTGTGTTTTGGCTTTTATTTTACACAAAGTATCTCAATAAATGATCTTTTTTCTGGGCCATATGTTTCAAATCCATTTATCTCATGTCTCGAGCAATTCTGAATCTAAATTAAGCAGGCTAGTTTTGAAATGCACTGTGCGTGTTTTAACAGTGACCTAGATTCACAGCAGGAGGTCTTTTCTGAAAGGTTCATTCACAGTGAAGCTGCCTGCCAGCGAGTGTGCAAACTGAAGCCTCAGTGGAGCAGATTAACGTGCGTTAATGTGCTGATTGGTTATGGTGACAAGTTATAAGTGACTTGTTCTGGTTGGATGCAAAGGACGTTGGAGGAGGGGAATTAGTCTATGTAATGAGCAGCTTGATGTGCAAGTCAAGGTTTTCCTGCTGCACATTCAGCACAACAATAAATCCTGCATACAAATCTTCTCTCTCACATTTTCTACAGTACTTGCTCTGATAATTTCTGCCCTCCGTGTATCAAACCTTGACAACACCCACCTGGGTGCGAGGGGGTTATAGAATAAAAATCCCAAAGAGTTCACATTACATCATACAGAAATAGTTGATATCATAATAATAGTAATAATAATCCTTACATTTGAAACAGTGCCTTTCATGTCGGGAGGATGGCTCAAAATGTCTCAAAACACAGGATTTTACTGTTGAGTGTAGTGCCTGTGTATTTGGCAATGCAACAGCAGCATCCTACAAACAGACATGAAGTAAATGACTTTTTTTTTCTCTGAATCCATTTCCCCCTCCCTGAACAAAGGCATAAACTTACGTGGGAAGCTTTCAACCAACAGCGGGGAGTATATGGCGTTTGCGTATGTTATCATGGTTTATTATCTAATGATTCAGTGGAGCATCCCATATAAAGCTAAATGAGGGTTGGAAGTAAAGGGCAAGTTCTCTGAATCAATGCAAATGTCTCCACCTTGAAATATTGCTTCCTGTAGTCTTGGCAAGGATTTAATGGTTTGACGTTGGTCAATTGTTCTCACAAGTCTTTGTCTAAATAACCTAAATTGTGCTTTTGCAGATACGGAAATCTTGACTGTCCAAACTGTGAGGAAGATGGAAGTCAAAGTTCTCCTGAAACGAGAACTGTAATCAGGAAGTAAGTTGGATCCGCTATGTGAATGAAATGTGCTTGAACCAGATACAACAGTAAGGGAAATCACTGGAAAGAGTGCTTCCCCTTGAGAATGGATAGAAGCTTGGTGATAAAAATGTCCTTATAGAAATGCGTTGAACACCATTTTCATACAGTAGTGACCGTACAACAACAATAGCTTTGGCTGGGGTTTGTAGGTTCAGTGTGGACTGGGAAATTATGGAATGTCAAAGAAAAATAACCTCCAAACTCATCAATGGAAAATGCTTTCCCTTCAGACAACAACAGCAAATTACATTTGTATCACACTTTTCACATTGGGAGCACATCCCAAGGCACTGGACAGTTAGGGATTTGGACCTCTAGATGGGCTGAAACATTTTCCATATCAGGTTCCTTTTAGAAACTAGCTAAAATATTACAAGGTAAGTGTTTCCTTTCCCCACTTTTCCTTCAAATTCCATGTGTTTGAGGGTTGTGATCAACCTGTAACCATCCGGTGCCGCCATAAACTTCTGAATTGGTCCATATCCGCATGTACCCTGATGCTACACATTACTGTTGAGCTTCTGGTGTTTATTTTTTTCCCCTCCTGGTTTCACCAACAAAGTGTTTTTCAAGATGCCCGCATTAGTTCTGCCTTAAATAAATCCAACCACCAAAAGTTACTGGTGAAGAAAGCTCGCTCTGCTCTGACAAAGTGACGAGAAATGTGCCGGCAAATGTACAGTTAATATTGGTCATTCATTTTATGGCTGTTTGTGGGACGCTGCTGTGCACTGAATGTCTGCCACGTTCACTTACAAAATAAACGGTCACTAGATCTCACAATAAATCTTTTGAAGCACTTTGAGATATTCTCAAATGCAAGGGTTATTGCTATATTCCAGCATTACTTCAGTGCGCCTGTTCAGTGATTCAGTTGCCTAATTTTTGTGCTCGGTAGTACAACGTGTAAGCCTATTGCTGCCTGGTGCATTGATGGCGACCAATCATTGCTGGACCTAAGCCAACTTGCACTAGATAGTAATAATAAATAATCCTTGAAATTGATATTCACATCAGGAGGATGACTCAAAATGCTTCACTGTGAAGTGCAGCAAATGTAGGCGCACATAACTGCCAACTTTGGCACAGCAGTGTCCCCCTTAAACAAGCCTTGAAACAAAATGCAAAGTCAGCTTCTGACACTCTCCCTCTCAATCTCCCCGTCCGATCCAGACTGGCGTGAAATGGGTCGGTGGAACATGAAAGAGGCAGATTAAGTCAACCGGAGCTTTTGAAAAGTTTTTCAAACAAACTCGATCTGACATGTTTGGAACAAGCCCACGTTGGGGATAGGAAGAGAAGGAAAACAAGAGCAAGAATGAGCACAGTTGAAACTAGACGCTGCCTTGCCTGCCAGCCAGCTTCCCCTCCGTTCCTCAACAGGGGGCTGCATCTGCTGCCTGCAATATGCAAGCAGAACCGCCCCCACTCCCCTGCTTACTGGGGTCAGGGTTTATTTTGTTTCTGCAGTTTCAGCTGGAAAGTGCTTTCCCAGGATGTCAGCAATATATCAGGTTTAAGTTAAAACCGCGCCAAGTCCAGCAAAGCAAATGCATGTAATTAGGAACTCTCCAGTGCTCCTCGGTGCAGTGCGTCCCATATGCTAACACTTTCTCCAGTGCTGCTCGGTCCAAGAGTATTTTCAGGCGTTGCGTCTGTTGCAAGTGATGGCTTCAGAGATGGAGAGGAATGATAATGAGTCGCTCCGCTAAATAATGGAGCGTGGTGTAACTGATTAGAGGTTTCAGAGGTTCTCAGTGGGGACATACTCATTTGCTGATGAATGTGTTTGAGACCAGGGTATGCTCCTCTGGGACCATCACCAGAGGGCTGTGGGCCAAGTTCTCCAGACGGCACAACACTGACTAAATGCCTCCAGATTGTGAGCCAGCAGGGCACATTCTCCCTAGGGTGAGCAACATGTTCCCAGCCAGGAGACACGTACATAGTGTGGGCAGGGTCCACTCTGTTCTGATCTCTCGATTGATTTTCTTTTTTAAAAAAAACTACTCTGGAGGGAGGGTTGCTTGTGTAACAGCCCTGGATGACCTTATAGGGAACTCCCTAAGCTCCACACTTCTTCCTCGACTCCGCAAGTGAGCATTGGGTTCTGTTTGATTCAGGACCACTTTGAGATCATCTTTCTACTGCTGATCACTAAGGAGGTCTCGTTGGTGCTATTGCCACAAAAGCTCAGTAGAGACGAGATTAGAGAGCGAGTGTTCAAACCAATATAAGATGCCATCACCTTGTAACCGTGCTTCATATCATTTAGCTGATGCTAGTTGATATCAGAGTTAATCATGCATCTGTCCACCCCGTGGATGGAAAGCCCAATGTCTCATTACAACCTCTCAAGATTGCTTTGGATAAAGAAGGCCCTTTGGTCCATCTGATCTCATCCTTTCCACCCAGAACACCCATCTCTGGAACACACTCCCTCAATCCCTCTGCCTTGCCCACTCTTTCCCTATTTTCAGGTCGCCTCTGACGACCTTCCCCTTCGACCATGTTTACGGTCACCTCTTCCCGGCTCCGCCACTGTTAAGCACTCTGGGACGCTGCCCTGGGCAAATTGTTGTTATATGTCCGTCTACTGTCACAGCATTGTGCTGTTTTGGGTTTTAAATGAACCAACATCCTGGCCTCAACCACCCTCAATCCTGGAAACCCGTTCACATTGTTAATTCCCCTCTTGTTTGTTTGCAGTGCTATAGCCTCCATTCTGCGGGCCTGGCTGGACCAGTGCTCCGAGGACTTCCGAGAGGTTCCAGATTACACGTGTCTGCACAAGTTGCTGGTCTACCTGGGACACAAGATGCCAGGCTCTGACCCTGAGCGACGAGCCCAGAATCTCCTCCAGCAGTTCCAGAAGCAGGACCAAGCCGATCAGGAGCTGGATGGTAAGAGCTGAATCCTGAGTTTGATGCAGATACAAGGTTTAAATTTACTTGAAAACAGGGGGAAATGAAGGAGGGGGCAAATAGTCCTAAAATGGATGCGAAAGTCACTAAATGGCTCACAAATTCATTGACAGGCACATATTGTGATTTCTTTGGAGGCTCCACTTTCCCATTGCCATTTCAAGGCTTTCTGCAGTGTTGCCAAGGTATTTCCAAGCTTAGAGCAACAGTCACTGCTTAATAGTACTGTTTGACTAAGCAAATAATAATAATAATAATAATCCTTGCATTTGATATAGCGCTTTTCACGTTGGGAGGACGTCCCAAAGCGCTTCACAGAACACACTGTAAAGTGAATTGACTGTATATTTGTGGGCGAACGCGGCAGCCAATTGCGCACAGCAATGTCCCACAAACAGTCGTAGATTGAATATGACCAATTTATTATTGTTTTGGGTTTTGGAGGGATTATTATTAGGCTCTGTGTGGAGTAAGGAAACTTGCCCAAGGTTTCGCCCTCTGCCTGGAATTGAACTCAGGTCTCTCGCTTGCAAAGCGAGTGCTCTAAGCACTGAGCTACAGGACTCCACAAAACCTTAACCTTAAATATTAGCTCCTTGTCCACTGTGTTTACTTCATGGAATTGTTGTCAGTAAAGATTTTCTTGCTGCCTGAATACTCCCAATAAGTGTTTTTTNCTGCAATACCTGTCCTCCATTGTTGATTCAATCAGCATTATTTTTATCAAAATAATTAATTATCATTGTATTTGATATAGCACCAGGTCATCAAAATGTCTCCAAGCAATTCACATGATTTTCTGTAAAGTATGATGACTGTGTGCTTGTAGGTACATGTCAGAAATCATTGACGGGCTCTCATTCTAAAAGGGACGTTTACAAAGGATGTTGAGCCAATGCGTTCAATACGGTTTTGTAAACTAGTGCTAATATTTGGATGCAAAATCAGTGTTTCTTTTTTGTTATGTACAGATGGTTATCATGCCAACATCACTTTCAGCCTGGGAGAGGAAGGGGATGTGGAGATAGATGGTGTTGAAGAAAAGCAGGATTTCCTCTCCTTCCCATCGGATACAGTGGCAGAGCAACTGACTTACATGGATGCTGTAAGTGCAGTAAACAGGAACCTAGAGCCATTTGTCATTTGCTATCTGTCCCGTTACTGCAAACCTAGTGTCTTTATAACATTTCCAATCACTCCTCGCTTCGTTCATGCTGCATGTGCTGTGCCAGTCGTTAAGGTTTTGCAAGATTACAGCACAAATAAAAAGTGTGCTGAGGTTTCGAAAACCTGTTAAAATTATGCAAGATTAGTTTCGCGAGAGCCCGTATGATATCAGGCAGCCAGGAATACCACCTTCCCATCACAGGGAGCTGTTTTTTTCAATGTGTCTCGTGTCCTTAGCTCACCCACCCTCCCTAAAGCCGTGTTCCAGCTGTTAGTTAATAATCCTGTTTAAAAAAAAGACTGGTGTGTGTGTGTCCTAAACTTACCCTTTGCTATCCTGGACCTGTGCCTTCATATCAACTGTTGCTGCCTTAACACGTGTCTGAAAGCATTATTCTAAGTTAGCTTTCTCTGTTACATTACCACCTTCTATATGTCTGGTAGGAACTCCTTTGAGCCATCTTATTGAGGCTATCTTACCCAGTTGTTCCTCATAGATCTCTTCTCTGACACTCGGGATCGGCCTGTTTACTCTCCTCTGTACTGCTTCTGCAAACTGTGCCTCCTATTTTTTGCTTGTATGCATTTTCTGCATTGAATGTTATTTGTCAGTCATCAGCCCAGCTTAGTATCCTATTGAAAAAAGAACTGCCCTTCTCTTGTGTTTCCGTTTTTCGCATTTAAAAAGGTCCCGAAGCTGCATTGGTTCAACCAAAAGTGTGGAGAAAAGATTCTGTTCACGATTGCACTGAGCAGAGCTACAAACCCTCACCATGTTCACTCACATCAATGGAGCAAACAGATTGATAATGTGTGTCTCTCTCCCAAACAAACAAGTTTGCCATGCACTTTTCCAGTCGGTTTTACTGAAGGCTTACACAGTACATGTTAAACTAAGTATCATTCTACAAATAGAACCCTGCTAAGCCAAGGCCAGTCATCAGCTGCCATCCGCCTGCGTGAATTATCACTGCAGGAAGCGAGGCGAGTCTGATGGAAATGCCCTTGCCCTTCTTGCCTCTCCCTGTGAGCTCCTTTCCCAAATCCATTCACTTTAAGAAAACATGTCTGTTCAGTTGTGACATATGGTTGGATGTGATCTTAAAATACAACCAAAAGCAAACATTCACCATTCCTTTGTAACAGATTTATTTTGGCCGCTTTCTACTTGGTAACTAAAGTTGGTGCAGCCAAACATTTTTAATTCTCCTCCAGCAATTACACAAAGCGTTTGAGAGCATTGCATGCCTGGTCATAGAGCCTTTCATTTTGCAGTTTATTACTTATTTGGGTATTATATACACTGTTGTGAGTGAGTGGTTATGTGTGTGTGTTCAGTTTTATCTATGCTCCTGCAAAGGAGCAGTGAGGACTTATTAAAAAATGGTCAATTAACTCTTTAAATGCAGAACTATTTACATCCGCACGTTTCAACTTATACATTAATAAATCATCTATTCCTTGGGTTTTAATCTTCTTCGTTTTGCTTCTGGCAGGACCTCTTCAAAAAGGTGGTCCCCCATCATTGCCTCGGCTGCATCTGGTCCCGACGAGACAAAAAGGGCAACAAGCACTTAGCTCCAACCATCAGGGCAACGATCACGCAGTTCAACGCGCTCACGAAGTGCGTGATCAGCACCACGCTGAGGGACGTGCAGCTGAAGCCGCAGCAGAGAGCCAAAATCATTGAGAAGTGGATCGACGTTGCCCAGGTAAAGTGCTGCCAAGAACACATTTTTGGTCAGCTTTTATGTTTTTCCTTTAGTGCAGATTTGTCCTTCAGCTCGATTTACTTGCTGCTAATGTATTGCATTTGAATCCATCAGATAGAAAGTGTCAAATTCCGTAACCTTGATCAAACTTGGCCATGCCCCTGACTTCAGTGCCATTTTGTACCAGGTGCACGCCCACCATCTGATAGAAGTTGGGACATTATCTGGCAGGGAGAAGTATTGCAGAGGCAAAGACAAAAGTGAATAACAGGTTTTAAGTTGCCAAAGAAAAGTAGTGTTTTTCATTAAATCTGTTTTTTATGCTGCGTGTTTTGACAGCTGCCCTTCTTGTTTTAAAAGGATTCAGAATTCTGATGCATCAATGAAACAGGAAACCACCGGTCACTGGTATTTAAACAGAACTCATTTCTTTCCCAACAGGAATGCAGGATTATGAAGAATTTCTCTTCACTCCGCGCTATCCTTTCAGCCATGCAGTCGAACCCCATCTACAGATTAAAGAAGGCCTGGGCTAATGTAACCAAGTGAGTTTGCGTCCTCCAGTAACTTTAGATCTTTGAAGAATCCACATATCTGCTGTGATTTTCCTTGCATCTCGCCAGATTTAATCATCCTTACATTTACATACAGCGCCTTTCATGACCAGAGGATGTCTCAAAGCGTTTCACAGGATTTTCTGTAAACTGTATAATTGTGAGTGAATATTCCAGCCAATGTGCGCAGAGCAACGTCCCACAAGTGAATGACAAATTTTATTTGAGGTTTTTTTGGCTAGGACACCGGCAGAAACTTCTCCTTCACTTGTGTTAATGGGAGTTCAGCAGAGTGGAAGTGGGAGCAGCTTCCCAGAGGAAGAAAGAATTGGAGGGCGAGACCAACCCACAAAGATCACTGTTATTCACCTTTAACATCTGGCTCAAAAATAGGCATTTCCAAGGGTTAAATGATTGAGTCTTCTGATCTCATGCTGATTTACAGTGCATAGGGTGACTTAAAAACACAAAGAAGATGCTTCAAGCCTTGATCTCTTGAAGAAAAGTCTAAGCCTTTTGTGAGCATTCCACTCGGTTGAATGACTTGAATCTGGGGGTCCACCAACCTCTTCACTCTTTAAACTTATTAAAACCCGTACCACATCTTGAAAAAAATGTACTCCTTAGAGAGAGGAGAGGGAAATAAGTTCAACTGGGGTTTAACTTACTCTTAAGGAAATGTAGTGGAGTAAGCCAGGCAGGTTCACAGCGAATTGTAGACAGAGTCGACCAATCTATCTGGTTCAACAATGAGACTTGGAGATATCCTCAACTCTCCAAGCCAATGACTGACCAGATAGCCTAGCTTAGCAAGTACTGTTTTGTAAAGTGACCAGTTATACCTATTCCTGGTCAATGATTTCTCATACTTCCTACACAGAGAGATCGGGCCCGTCGCATTTTCATAGAATCATACAGCACAAAAAGAGGCCATTCGGCCCATCGAGTCTGTGCTAGCTCTTTGAAAAGAGCAATGTAATGTCAATCCCACTTCCCAGCCTTTTCCCCATAACCCTGCAGATCCGTACTCCTCAAATACCCGTCCACCGCGTTTTTAAAAGTAGTTATCGAATCGGCCTCGACCACCCTTTTAGGCAATGCGTTCCAGATTTGAACAACTCGCTGCATGAAAATATTTCTTCTCACCTCCCCTCTGCTTCTTTTAGAGACTACTTTGAATCTGTGACCTCGAGTCACCGACACACCCACCACTGGAAGCAGTTTTTCCCTTTCTAACCTATCAAATCCCCTCATGCTTTTGAAAACCTCTATTAGGTCTCCTCGTAACCTTCTCTGCTCCAATGAGAATAATCTTAGCCTCTCTAGCCTTTCCTCATAATCAAGGTCCCTCATTCCTGGTACCATTCTCGTAAATCCTCTCTGCACCCTTTCCAATGCCTTAACATCCTTCCTATAGTGTGGTGCCCAGTACTGGACGCAATATTCTAACTGAGGCCTAACCAGTGTTTTATATAGGTTAATCATAACCTCCTGACTCTTGTACTCTATGCCCCTATTTATAAAGTCTAGTATCCCATATGTCCTTTTTACAGCTTTATCTACCTCTCCTGCCACCTTCAAGGATTAATTTACCTGAACCCCCAGGTCTCTCTGTTCTTTCACCCCCCTTTAAGATTGTATTACCAGCCTATATTGCTTCCCCTCATTCTTTCTACCAAAATGCATTAGCTCGCATTTCTCCATATTGAAATTCATCTGCCATTCATCATTCATTTATCATTCATTTTCCCTCATTACAGTTGAGGTGAGCTGGTGCTGTATGCTGTATCGCTCACATGAGACCCTCTAGTACAAGTATGGTTCCTGACACCAGTTTGCTAATCTTTGTCTCTTAATTTGTCTCTTTATTTCATTAACCAGGGACAGCATGTTGATGTTTGAAGAGCTTTCAGAAATATTCTCTGATCAAAATAACCATCTGACCAGCAGAGAGCTGCTAATGAAGGTAAGATATCTTGCTCAGCTAAACTATTCCATATTCGTGGACTTTGTGGAGTGGTGACCAAAACAGATAGATGTTTAGCTAACAGACTGCACATGGATGTAGCCAGCAGAGCTAGTGTCTGGTCTGAGAGGGGAAGTGAGGGAGAGAGAGAAAACAGTAAACAGGGTGGTCTGTCTTGGCTTAATTCATCAAAGCCTGTCGCAAAACAGACATTTCTACTGAAGGATAATATTTCACAAAGTGCCTTGACTTCATTCTGTTCACTGATTATATAACCTTTATGTGAGCTATCTTGACTGAGAATCCTCTGGGAGATTTCAAAACTTTTCTCTGAATTTGAACTGATATTAATGGGTGTTCCGCCTTGTGATTTGTGTGCTAGGAACCTACTCCCCCATTAAAATGGATAGCTTTACTACTTGGTGAACTCATCACTTGTTTTGGAGATCCTGATAACTGATGTTTTGCTGTATGAGAACTGGAGCCTGTTTATGACCCACACGACTTGTTTACTGCATATTTCAGACTGTTAACTGCCAGATTTCAGCCAGCTTGTGAATATTTTGTACCCAAGTCCGCCCGAGTGTCTGCTGTCTTATCCCATTTGCTTTGAGTCTTTCTAAGTCTAAGTTGCAGAGTACGGTGACATTTATGCAGCGAAAAGAATAGTTTTTTTTTGTTCTGAGAATGCTGAAGGTCTGGGTTGAGATCCATTCAGTAAAATTCCAATCCATGAACCAGACATGTCCTTTTTGGCACTGTCCGCAATTTGAAACTTTTGAATAACATAACGAACCTTGGAATAACTCAGCATTCGGAATGGTTATAGTCTGTTTGCATTTTTAATAAGAGTCTTGAGTTCTTATTATTGTTTAAGCGCTCTGTGACACTACCCACGTGAATGGCGATCATATAAATGCCAGCTGTTGTTGTTCAAACAGAATTCGTATTCAATCCACGTTGGGCTTTGCATCAAATGCACAATATCTGGAAAAGTCAGACTTTTGAACCAAAGTGTTAGCAGTAGAAAGCTTGGCTTAATAAAAACAGTCTGGTTCGAGTGTTTGGTTTAATCATCCAGTCTTTGAAGAGTGCAGTCATCGACCAGCAAAAACAAGGATTATATCACTTTGTTTTAAAAAGAACCTGCCAAGCTTTGGCAATCTGACAGAGAAAATCCATTTGTTTGCTCTGTGCTTGTGTCTCTTTTAAAAGAGCACTATCTATCTGGGGCTCATGACACGCAATTTGTTAGACTTCCAAGAGTCTATGCTCCCCTCGGCCCTAGTTTCATTAATTGTGCGTGTGTGTGTTATAGATTTTACTCCGGCTTGTACTGCTTTCAGTGCTTTGGGAGATGTAGGTCCTCACCGTGATGGTTGCCTTTGCACAATGGGTATTGATGGCTCTTTGCATCTGCAGAAAATGCCACTTTACATTACTCTGCAAAGGATTGATATCACGTTCTTTTTGTGTGTCATCTATTCTGGTTTATTGCAGGCTTTGAGAACCAGATGTTGCCGTTTCGTCTTCATATTGTGGGTTAGATCCCACCCCAATATGGGAATGTAAATGCCAATGATAGATTGAGGGATGCTTTGTTGGAGATATGAGGCGAATGGGTGTGACTGCAAGAAAAAAAGCATTGTTGCTTTGAACGCAAGAACTCTTCTGTGTTACTGTGCTAAGTCTTTGTTTGGCATCTTTCTGTTTTAATATTACGGCATCTGTCTGTATTTAGTCCATAGACCAGTCAGTTCCTTGTTTATTGAGCAGTGTGGTCTTGGAACTTTTGATTGTCTACCTAATCCCTTCCAAAATGTTACACATTGCTTTATCGTATGCAGGTTAAGAAGGGTGGAATCAAACCAATTTTGTAACTATGCACTGCAAATTGTCGGTTTGGATTTGAACCAGAGAAGGAAATGGGTGCGATCTGATGCCGGGTGCCTAGAGAAGTGGTCAATTTGTAATGTAAATCCTTTACGTCTGTGGCTGTCTGTTTGTCAGTCCATCCCCACATGGATATGACTAGATACTGTATTGGAGTTGGCCTGCCTGTGATGTGTACAACTTGTCTCCAGGCAGCGGGAGATTCCAATGTGTTGCTGTGACTGTTGTTGTGGGATGTTTGTTTCTCTCGTGCATAAGATGTTTTAGAGGGTAATTATTCAACACAATTTGGTTTGGGTAGAGTCGCCGTCTAATTTTCTAGTCTAAATTCCACCCACTCGTTTGTTAATTTGTTGGATGTTGTCACAACTTTAGAGAGAGGCCATCGCAAGCCTCCAACGTGCAACATTAAATGATGTGCAAATTCCTGAACCAAATGCTTTCTCCAAACCTCTGGCAACACAATGAAAATACCCTCACTGGTCAGGTTGCCCACTCAACAACAACAACAACAATAGATTATATTTACATAGCACCTTTCACGTCGGAAGGCGTCCCAAGGTGTTGACCCAGTCGAGGAGTAGCTACAATTGTTCTGGCAAAAGTAGTCTTTATAAATCGCAGTGTTCCCAAAGTTCTGCAACTCTGCCTCGTGTGCCAATGAACTCAGTATTAGGCTGATTTTGTGCTGATGCTTATTGGAAATCTTGCAACACTGCTGTCGCAAATGGGAGTGAGAATGTGCCTGGCACACTGAGGGGTGAAGAGCGTTTTAGGTAGTTCAGTGGTGCCGTGTTACTGTTCGAGGTTATTTACTGGGGCGGGCTGTTAATTGCTGACTTATTTCTGAATCCTCAGGAAGGAACGTCAAAATTTGCCAATCTGGACAGCAATGTGAAGGAAAACCAGAAACGGACCCAGAAAAGGTTACAGTTGCAAAAGGACATGGTGAGATATGCCTTTACACACTCAGCACCACAGGTGGACCACTTTACACCAACTAAAGCCAGTTCAGCCTTTCCAATAGAATCTGTGTAACTCCAGTTTCAAAGCTCCATTTGGTTACTCTACAAAATCAAATGCGAGTTTTGTTCTAAATAATACAATAACCCTTGCATTTGATATTGTATCTTCCACAGTATATTTTGCAAGAGATATCAGAGCAGCTATTTGTTTCCATAGTAAAGCTGTATTTTAAAAAGAGAAGAGTGTTCCTCTCTTTGTCCTAGCCAACAATCGCCCAAATAAAATTAGTCATTCACTTCATGGCTGTTTGTGGGACATTGCTGTGCACAAATTGGCTGCTGCGTTCACATACAGAATGCACAATCATTGCACTTTACAGTATAACCTGTGAAGAGCTTTGAGACATCCTCCTGACATGGAAGGCACGATATCAAATGTAAGGATTTTTTTTATTATTATTACTTATTATTACTTGTCTAATGCTTTTTAATTAAAAAAATCTGGTCATAATGTAAATACGATTATGAAACATCTTGAAATAATCCCTCCACCTGTATGAGTGAAGAATGGGCAATGCAATATGTGTGAACGACCTGTTAACTCTTAAAGTAATTAATGTGTATATGATTTGCACAAGTTCAACTAACAGCAGAGAGCAAGGAATTTTCTGTTTTGTATGGCACAACAATGTATTGAAACCCTCAGAATCTTCAGAATCTGCAACTGGATTTAGCCAAAAGGATCAGTGCACTCGCTAAAGAGTTCTTAGCATGTTTGAGGAATGTAGTTACTCATGACAGCTCTAGTTTTGCACTGAAAAACATATTGAACTTGTCTTATCAATAGGGTGTGATGCAGGGAACTGTCCCCTATCTTGGCACTTTCCTGACAGACTTGACCATGCTGGACACTGCTCTCCCTGACTATATTGAGGTAAGTTTGTGCATGTCCTACCCAGACCATATGCTCGGATCATTGTCTAAGAGATTTCTTGTTTGTTTGCTGGCGGTTGCTGTAAGCTGCCGAATAAATTGCGAACCATTGAAGATTGGAGTCAAAGTGACAATAGAGCCATGTATATAAAAGATTGGTCAAAGAAAGGCGTTGGCAGAGGAAGTGTACACATTGCTTTAGCAACCCGTTGTTGTGTTGTGCTTTGATCTAAACATTGTCTTGGGAGTGGGGACACTTTGAAATGCAAAAGCTTGTTTTGAATACTTTCTTTGTTTCCTGAAAGTTACATCGGTATAAATAGCGTGTTCTTCTATGACAATTCAGAGGTCATTTTCCCTGGAGCTCCACCTCCTAGAGCAGGCATCCAGTTTGCAATCCTACAGCTTGCTCACCTGTGCAATCAAATCGCTGTCACTCGCAAGCGGTCTTTGCTCACAAAAGTTTGCTCATACACAGGTTTGCTTTCAAACCTTCAACAAAGGGACTGAGAGCTAAAGTGAATGTACATCTTCTGTGTTGAATAAAGAAGTGGGTTTTGCTCTAAAGCCATTTCAATGAGGCAGAAGTCCCAGTTTCTCTCCTGACCATCGGTTTATTTACTCTCTAATCTTGTATAACCCAACCCCCACCCAGGTTCAAGTAACATTTTTTTTAAACATTCTTTTTTGTCTCCTTTAGGGTGGCCTGATCAACTTTGAAAAGAGACGACGGGTTAGTATGAATTGTTTTGCTTTGTAAATCTCGACATGAAAAAGCCTTTCTAAATGTTTCCAGGTCTCATTAGCTATCAAGCTCCTATACAATACAATTTATACTTATATAACGCCGTTCACATCGGGAGGATGTCTCAAAGTGCTGCTGCTGCTGCCGGGGCACTAAGCTGGGGGCAGGTTGGGAGTAAGAGGAGGGGTGGGAGGAGGAGGTGAAGGTAACCAAAAGCATATTCGAAGAGGCAAGTCTTGAGGCAAGCTTTGAATGTGGGCAGGGAGGGCTTGAGTCAGTGGGACTCCAGAGAGTGTCTGAAAGCCCACCAATAGGCAGTTATGGTTGACTCTACACAGTGCAGGTTGTATCTGACGTCGGTGGACACTTAGCAGCACCCGCAAAGGGGCGAATGTCCTCCTCCTCCTGCGCTGTAAACCTTCTATTGATGATAGCACTGCTGAATTACAGGGTAGTTATTTTAATCTTTTTATTATAAATTCTGCAGTGGGTGAATAATTGCTCAATGCTGCACATTCTTCTCCTCTCAGCTGCGCTCTCCATCACGAAAACAGCAGACTCGTGCGACCTTGAAATAAACAAGCACGGATGATTTTTTATTTAACCTTAGTCGATGTCAGTAGGCAGTTCCTCTCCACACACCTGACATTGGCAACAGCGTCATGAATGTTTCAATATTCAACATTCACACAGCTGACTGGGAACCCGAGCTTGGTTTGTGAGGTGAGGGAGGGAGGGGAAGAAGAGTTCAAAAGCTCGACCAAAAAGATGGGCCTTAAGAATAGAAGCAACGAATAGAAATTTCACGTAAAGGTGATTTAATCCTGAAATCTAAAATGTTCCACAAAGCTAATATGAGTGCACATAGAAGTACATAGACGTTGACAGTGCGGAACAAACCACTTGGCCCAATAATTCCGTACCAGTGTTCATACTCCACATGAGCCCCTAACCCTCTCCCCCAGGCTTCCCTTCTAATACCACTCTTTTCCCTTCTCCCTCATGTAAAAGTGTATTTTAATAAGATGCTCGGATACTGGGATTACACTGTGTTGTGTCCCTGACGACGAGCAGGTTTCAAAGGTTGAACTCAGCCGAGCCTGTTCGCTTTCATCTGTCAACCTGAGCTGCGTGTGAAACGGAGTGGAGAACCTGGAAGCTGATCAAAAGGCAGTGGGGCAGCGCTCAATGTATAGCGGGGCTCCAGACTGTGACAGGCAGCAGCCGTCTGCATTCTATACAGATGCCTGGCTGCAGTGCAGACCTGTGCTTCTACACATACTAAGCCTCTCAGGAGAGCTGACAGAGTATATCAAGTTGTATTGGCTTAGAAAAAGAAGTCCTGCTTTAGTCTTGGGATGCCTTGGGACATCCTCCTGACGTGAAAGGCGCTGTACAGATGTCATTTGTTGTTGTTGTTGTCCTTTCTTGTGCACGATGAACTCTTAAATTCCGCCTCACACACAGCACCTCTAGGGATGTGCGAATGTATAATGGATAAGTCCCATCAGTGCCCGACATTGTCAAAGATACATACAAATCAATGGAGTTTTTACCATAATCTCTCACGTGATAATGTTAACTCAGGCACTATCATCGATACTCCATGTACAATTTCTATAAACTGCCTGGTCATTCTGACATCGACTTGAATCACTCCAGTGTTGTGTTTAGCATTTTTTTTAAAAAAAGAGAGAGGTAGCTGACATTTTATGCCAGGAGACTGGGCCACTTTAAAGGGCCACTGTTTGGATGAAGCAACTGTTAACAATTGGGTTTGTGTGTTAAGGTGTTTGTCCTTGTCTGTGTGCTTTCAGGAGTTTGAGGTGATTGCACAGATCAAGCTGCTGCAGTCCGCCTGTAACAGCTACTACATCAGCCCGGACCAGAGGTTCATTAAATGGTTCCAACGTCAGCAACGCTTCACCGATGAAGAAAGGTGAGGGTTAAGCTGTAATTGGGACTTTGTGAGTGGGCAGTAAACCGGGCTGTGGGGGCACTGTATGGGGCTTGGTGAAGATCCTTGACCGACAGATAAAACGAGAAAAGTTTAGCTGAGCCTCCCCTTCCTGCCTTCTCTCATTCAGCAGGAGAGAATGCTCCCAGTCTTAAGCAATAAGACACATAAACTTGGATTCTGCTCCATTCTCTTGCTGCCCCTGTTTATTAATGATAAACTCCAGTGAGCCCAGTCTCCATATCCTATGCCTTTTAGTGTAGACTTATAATAATAATGATAATAATCCTTCCATTTGATATAGCGTCTTATCACATTATTGAGACATCTCAAAGTGCTTCACAGGACTGTAAAGGGGATTGGCTGTCTATTTTGTGGGTAAAATGCGGCAGCCAGTTGCATACAGCAATATCCCACAAACAGTCATGGAGCGAGTGCCCAATTTATTTGGGAGATTGTTGACCAGGACACATTTATGTAGATCAAATTGACAGAAGCCCAATTATTTTATTTTGTTTGTGTGTATGTGTGTGCGTGTGTATATATGTACATAAAAATGAGCAAAGCAAGAACGTGCAAAATATATAAAGCGAGTTGTCTGTGTTTAGTGTTATGCTGCAGTAGTTCATTCTGATATTCATAGTCTGAAAGTTGCATTTATCTGTCTCCTCTAGTTATAACATCTCCTGTGAAATCGAACCAACAACCGATGCGAGTCCTACATCTCCGAAGCCCAGGAAGAGCATGGTGAAGCGTCTCAGCTTGTAAGCAATAGCAAACAGTAATCCTTATCATAATAAATAATAATCCTTTTAATAATAACTAATAATCCTGATAATAAATGGTCTTGGAATAAATTGCAATTCTTATAATAAATAGTAATCCTTATAACAATAAATAATAATCCTTGTAATAACAAATAATAAATAGCAATCCTTAAAATGAATAATCTGCAATAATTAATTATCTTAAAATAGCCATTACAATAAATCATTAATAATTAGTCTTCCATATCATAATAACCCTTAATTCTCCGATTCAATGTACCTGTTTATTACGTTGTCGAAACATTTCAAAGCGCTTCACGGAATTTACAGTCCGAGATCAGTGGGGAAAAGGTTGATGCTGCTTGACAGCTGTCACTGTGGATGTCTTCTGATGTGTGGAACATGTGTTTCAATATGTTACTGGATTGGCAACTTAAGCAGAGGGACTTTATCTTGCATCTTAAAGCACATTAGAAAGGGGATACATGGATGGGGAGACTCAATGCATTTTAAAAGCAGAGCTTTTCTTGTAGCCGATGACCTCTGTGCAAAAGCAGTGTTTTAAGCCTTTGATAAGGAGCAGGTTTGCATCCCTCTTCTCCTTAAAGATCTCTCCCTTGTTAAGCCAGCAACAAGAATTGGTGACTATAGGGTATCTTATTTTGGTCACTTTGTGGTGATATATAATAATGCACACTGTGCCTGTGGGTGGTTGTTATGTGGAGATTGTTGAGGGTTTCTCTTCTCTTCCCCCCCCACCCACCCCCACGATGTATAAATTCCAGATTTGAAATATGGAGAGATGCCAGAGAGAAGAGAGAACAATTCTGAAGCAAAGATCCCCCTTTAGGGCATTTTTAATGAATCTCAGCAGCAGTTTCAAGGTGCCGTGTAACTTCCTGCTCAGTCACAAATAATGCATGGTGCGAAGGAACCAAGGAAGGAGAGAAAATACCTTAGAAAAAATCTCTTGTGTGTGACAACAAGTAAAATCGTATTTGTGTGGTGAATGTACTTGGAAACCAATTTCTTGACAGTTGGGCTATTGATTAGCGCTTCACAGCAATTCAGACGCCCTTCAGTGTATGAGCAGCGTGGACTGTCCTTTCTGTCCTCCGAGGCTCCAGCTGTCAACAAAGAGGTTACATACAGCTGACTGTGTAATCTACCACTCCTCAATGTTGACGCTTACCTACCAATGATCCTAACGAAAGCTTTTGGTGCAGTCTATTTTTGGGACAGGCAAGCTCTCGCTCTGCCTCTGTACCAGCACTAAAGCGCAAACTGGATGCCGAATTTATTGACACCAGGGACTTGGACGCGATTAATTATGACTTTGTTTGCATTTTAGCCATCTGTTTGCCACTGGTGCTTATTCCCACAGATCAAGCGGCAGGCGAGGGAAAGTTAGAGCAGTCAATGAGCTAGTCAATTACCTCCATTGTGTTGTAGCTCCACTGAAGCCATTCATTAACTTGATACACTGTTAAGACAGGAAAACTTTACTTTCAAGCAAATGTACAGAAGTCAACAACAGCTATTAAACAGCTGTTTTTCTGCAACTAATGGCTTTTGACAGTGTTTTGAAAGTGTATAATTATACCCTGCAGTAGGTTAAACCCAACCGTGTAACTCCTGTACATATTTGTGGACAGAGGGACTCTGGATTCTATTAAATTCAGAACAGGAGCATTTGGATGTTTGTGGTTTGAACTGTTTGGTCCGAAGTAGTTGCTGTCATTCATAAACCTGGGCAGATGACCAGATTTTTCACAAGCACGCTGCCAGGGCTGTGTCTAAGGGATAATGCATTCTCTATAATACGTACGTTATACGTGATCCATTTGGTTTGATTTGGCATTGTTGTTCCATCTCGAATTTCTGCTCCAGCTTACTGCCTGGACCTAGCCGGCTGAGTGAAACCATTCAGTAAAACAAGCTATAAATAGTTTGTACTCTTGCTGTCTCATGGGCAGATAGACGGCACCAGCTCTCATTGAACTGGCCATTGAATCGTGCACTTGAGTGTGCCCTGACGGATAATTTATTACTTATATTCTATTAGTATCCGATCCTCTGTCCAGAGTACTGTTTAAATGCACCACATTGTCCTGAAGACTCTATCAATAGTTTTGCTGTATTTTTTTCAATATTAAAAAAATAGATCTTTTTGGTATATGTTTGACCTTCAGAGTGAAGAAGTACAGAATTATTGTGTGATCTAAAAGTTATGAAAATGAAAACGAAATTGTAATTAGTGCCCAGGTGCCTATAAAGAAAGTTTTGTCTGACATCTATTGTGTTGGTTGTGTTAATGACTGAAGCCTAATTCACTTTTTCAACATATTAATGAGGTGGAAACCCCTTTGGGAGGTGGAGAGGGATAAGAATTCAATTTGTATTGGAATTCCATTGAGATATACACAACACACACACATATATATATATTAAACAGCAAGTTGCATATATTGGGTTCAAGCCCCACATTAGGAACTCTCATTCTAAGCTGACACTCTGATATAGGGATCACTGCATTGTCAGAGGTGCCATCCTTCATTAACCCATTAAACTGAGATCCCGTCTACCTGTTCAGGTGGTTGTTAAAGATCCTGCTCAAAAAGAAATAGGAGTTTCTTCTGGTGTTCTGGCCAACAATCCTCCAGATAAAATTGATACACTATAATTGATTTCATGGCTGTTATGTGGGGCATTGCTGCATGCAAATTGACTGCTGCATTGCCTACAAAAACACACAATCGCTGCACTCTGCACTATATCCTGTAAGTTCTTTTGAGACACCCTCCTGACCTGTAAAGTGCCCCAGTAAACGCCTGATAACTCGACCCTTGCTTAACTGTCACTACCACTTAAGTTGCCAGGCTGTCAATATCCTGGCTGTTTCCCATGCAAAATTTTAATAAGGGACTTGTCACACCACTTGACACATAACTAGTTGAATTCTAGAGATTCTTGTAAGTACTTACATCAGATAATTCATCCTATGGTTTGCAGACACATCCTGTCCTATCCTATGACTGGTGCGGACTCAGTCCAACCAATCCATGCTGGTGTTTATACTCCCAACAAGTTAATAGGACAACTTGCAAACTGTAGTGAATTATTGTGTGAACTGTAGCTTTGAACGCTTCATTCATGAAATTGTGCCTTGCTCAGGTTATTTCTAGGGTCAGAAGTTATCACAAACACTCCAACTAAGGGCTCTGACCAACCCAAGTCTCCTCCAAGCGGGAGTTCTGGAGAAAGCATGGACTCTGTGAGTGTCTCGTCGTCAGACTCCAATAACTCAGAGATTGAGGAAGTCAGCATATCTCCTACTGAGACTCCGGACGGACCCCCCAAAAAGGTAATGCATGTATATCAGGACACAGCTAGACGTGAATTGGACTGTTGGTTAGGAATCAATGTTCCATTCAATGACATTTTTACACTTGAATACAAGAATAGAGATGGGTACAAACACAATAAGAACTGCATCTCGGCGTTTGTAACTGGAGCTAATTCTGCTTTTGATGCAGTTATGTATGTAGAGGGCAATTCTGCGAAAATTAGGGTAAATTAACAGGATAGTTAAATTGTAAAATGCCTGCACTGTGTACTGAGAGACCGTGAATTGCCTCAGTGCTGTTTGTTTTAAATCTGGCCTTCAATCCATAGAAGGACTCTGAGTAAGTGACCTGAAATAATTGAAGCATAAAGTTTATGGGAAGGTTTATCATCTGAAATGTCGCAAGTTCAAATTATCAGCAGTTCTGTGAAACACTTCTATGTGCTCCTATCTCTGGCCCTTTTGTCTGTGTCCTTTTTTTTAAGCTGTTTTTATCCCTCTTCTTTCTGTCCCCTCAACATTGCACTCTTCTGTAGGCAAACTAGTGCCATCTTGATGCTAATCTTGCTCTGTTACTTCCTCCTTGGAGAGCAGTGTGTGAGAGTGAGAGACCCAGGGTGACTATCTCTGGTTTTCAAATCCCCACTCCCCCACCTCACTAACCTCGGCTCATCACCTCCAGTACCAACACCTCCTCACGGATTGTCCTTCAACTTGAGTCAAGCATTTGTACAGTAGCTTAATGATAGTTGTACATGGTTGCAGCAAGTAGATCACTGAAAGACCGAGTGGCTAGTTTAATAGTAGTGTGTTGAGGCACTTAGTTAACATCTTTAGGTCAAAGATTAAACCGTGGTAGTATTGAATAAGTAGAGGAATGGAGATCATTCAGCCTGTTGAGCCTGCTCCACCAGTTTATTCGATCACAGCAGGTCTTTTAATCACGTTTCCTTGCCTTTCCTCTCAATACTTACTATGAGTAGTCTACTATCTAGGCTGTTTATTCCCTTTAATTACTGTACTCTTTGCCAGTGTCTCAAAGGCATGAGATGAAACCATCAATGCTGATCTGTTAATGGAGGACAGTGCAGATGACCTAATGTTTAATGGTGCTGATTTACAACCCATCCATCAGTAAACGTTGATTTTTTAGGAGGAGGGAGTTGGATGGTATCGATCGGTTCAGAGTATTGATAATGATTACTTTGAATGTCGATGTTCTCTCACATGGTTTGTTATTTGAGAGCAGCTGGGTCAGAGATCAGCCGTATCTGAAGAGTAAATGGTTGTGTGGCTTGTAATAATAATAAGTGCCATCTGTTTCATTTTTATTCTGCAGCTCTCTGAATCTTTATCATCCTGCTCATCCATACACTCTATGGACACGACGTCTTCTGGCGTCTCGTCCTTAATCAGTATCATGTCGTCATCACCATCGCTCTCCCACAACCCCAAGCTCCACAAGCGCTCCATCTCGGTGACTTCCTGCAGTTCCACATTCTCACTTCCTGTGTACAACCAGCAGAATGAAGATACCTGTATAATCCGGGTCAGCCTTGAGGACGACAACGGAAATCTGTATAAAAGCATCTTGGTAAGTAGGTTGGTTCTGATTATCATTTGTTTGCTCTGATTCCTCAATGGGCACGGAACACCAACCCGCACCTTTCTGTTCATTTTTGTTTTCCACGTTGCATTGGCAACAGTTGTCACCAGATGATGGATGGCCGGGCTGGCTCCAGATGGCTGTTTAATTACCCTGAATTCATCTTCCTGCCACCTACCGTCCTAATGCACCTCCTGTTCATATTGCTGTTCGCTACCTATCCACTGTTCCCTTCACTCAGTCTGCTTCATGTCCCCCGGCTGACCCGTCCTACAATTGGTAGACGGGCTTTCAGCCCTTCTGCCCCCTCTGAGTCTCCATCTTATAGTCCTTTTGATTTGCCTCCTCCCTACCCACTTTTAAAGACCACCTTGAGACTTGCCTCTTTGCCTGCCCTTTCGATCAGCTTACCCCCCTCCACACCCATCCCCTTTCAGCCCCCTCCTCCCCAACGCTTGGGTACCAAAAGCTGTGTAAAACACTTTGAGAGGACTGGTTGGCAGGAGGACTGGTCATGTCAGTCATCAATCACTTGGTTCTAACTCCATGAGGAGAAATGATCTGAACAAGGAGTGATTTCAATGCCTCCCACATGATACAGGTTAATAACAGCAGGAACCTTGCGCACTTCAATCTATCAACACAGCGATGTGAAATGAGCCCCTAAATTCCAACATTGAACAGTTCCTGCCAATTATTGAGCTCTGAGCAACCATCAGCCGATCTGGAGCTCTTCAGTCTTAAAAGGAGACGCCTCAGAGGGATTCATAGAAGTATATAAGATTTTAAATGATGTTGAGAAAGTAATACTTTTGGACTCACTGAGGCAGCAGAACAAGAGTCCATGGGTTTAAAGTCGCAAAAGGCAATTTCAGGACAGACCCCATGAGGCATTTCTCTACCCAGAGGATAATTGATGATAGGAACAGGTTGTCAGGAAGAATGGATTGAGCCCAGGAACCTGGACTCAATTATAGAAAAACAGCTTGATGCTGTGGGTGAGATCAAAAGGGCCGAAGGGCTTTCTACATCCAAACCTCTCTTGTGATTTTGTGATTTAAATGCAAATTTACTTGAGGATGCTTGCACAGGCTCATTTGCATTTACCAGTCTCTTGTACGCTGTAAGCTTCAGAGTTTTTTTTTAAAAAAAGGCTGTTCTAATTCATTAGTCAGCTTTCCAAATAGCCTGACCATAATGTGGGACCTGATTTTCAGTGCTCGTTCCTCACATCATAACTATCAATATCCACATTGTGCAATTTCATATTAATAATAATTTATTATAATTCTAATAACTTTCAGAGGATTCAGCTCTTTGAAATTTTCTTTGTAGATAAGTGATCGTAGGTGTGATTGCCATCAAGATCAATGCATATGTTGGGAAGGTCGTATCAGTTTATACTCTGGGCATTCGTGTAAAAGTGATTTTCTGTGTTTGCTCTCAGAAATGAGTGTAGTTGTATAACTTGCAGCCTGTTTAGTAGTTAGTTCTGAACTTTAAGGAAGGGGAGTTTGCTCTATGGGAAAGTGTTGTATTGAGGTTTAACTTGTGGTATTCCCATTTGTCCCAAGAGGAAATATTGCAAGTTATAACAATCTGCGCATTTGGTATGGCGCCTTTTCACATTTAGACATCTCAAAGTAGTTCAGAGGATTTTACTGGAAAGTGTAGGGACTGTGCTTTTGTAGATCTGAATACCGCATCATCTTTTGCATGTTGAACTCTGGGTTAAGTTGCTGAAAAGCCTTATTGGTGAAAATGTTCGTAGCATCCTGATTGTTTTGGTAGTTTTTCAAGGTAAATGCAATAATGTGGCCATTTGTAATTGTTGGTGTTGCATAAAGAAATATTCTCCATTTCCCCTGGCCTTTGCAGTATCTTGTCAGACATGCGTCACTAGGCAGGAAATGTGTATCCGTTGTTAAATATCTGAGAATGATACATTTTTGTCCTAGTGTTCCCCTGGGGATGGCAAAGGAGAATTTGTTGGCTGAGTGGTTTAGACTACAGATTGTGATGCCAAATTCATGCTACCATTGGCATACATTCAGCCCCAAAAGTGTAGTAAAGCTCTGCCAAATCTAACACTTCATTCAGTTAGACTCGCTTAGATAGTGGGTGTGATACTGGAAGGGAGGAGGGGTTGTTCCAGTGTAATAGTATAACAGAGGAGAGCAGTGATTGATTTAACAACAGCAACTTGCATGTATACAGCAGCCTTCATGCGGGTAGTGACTGGGTGCACTTAACGACTGTTAGAGTCTGTTATACTGCTAGACTCCAGAATAACTTTGAGACTTCTCAACAACATGATGAGGCCATATATCAAATGCAAGGATTGTTATTATTCTAACAGAGGGGTAGCAGTGAAAACTAGGTGGAATCATTGAGCCCCAGCTTTCTCCAAACCTCGGGGGAGAGAAATTAGGAGCAGGGTGTTGGAACGAGCCAAACTATTTTAGGCTGTTCACTGAAGTAGTGGAGAACTACTTTGAATTCAAAGTGTGTTTGAATCGAGTTTCTTCTTGCTGACCTTTGTTCCCCAATTGCTGGGGGCTGTGAATTTATAAAGCACTAATGATTGTGTGTCAGCCTGGCTCAGCCGGCAGCACACTCTCCCCTGAGTCAGAAGGTGCTGTGTTGCAGCCACATGTCTCGCATTGGGATTTTTTTCTCAAATAGCCGAGGCTGATGCTCCAGTGCAGCGCTGGGGATGTGTTACATTATTGGAGGTGCTGTCTTTTGGTTAAGATGAGGTGCCATCTGCCTGTTCGGGGGCATGTTAAACATCCTACAACAGCAACAAAATTACATTTAATTAGCGCCTTCACGTCAGGATGACGTCCCAAGACGCTGGACAGTCAGTGTTTCGGACCCGAGCTGGGGGTTGGGATTGGAGAGGGAGGAAGGCAGGGGGAGAAGGAGGGTGATTGAAGGCACGGTTGTAGAGGAGGGTCTTTAGATGGGTCTTGAAGGAGGCAGGCGATGGGGGTACGAGGCGGAGGGATTGCAGGATGGAGTTCCAGAGGGTGGGGGCAGAGTGGCTGAAGGCCTGCTCGCCAGTGGTGGGGCGGGCAAGGTGGGGGACGTGAAGCATGCCAGATCCCACTGAGCGGAGTGAGCAGGCAGGTTGGTAAGGGGTTTGGAGGTCGCAGAGGTAGGGGGGAGCGATGAAGGGCTTTGAAGGTGAGAACCAGGATGTTGAACTGTATCCTCTGTGTGATGGGAAGCCAGTGGAGTTGGGCAAGGATGGGGTGATAGGGTCACGGAGCCTAGTGCGGAAGAGGACACAGGCTTCAGAGTTCTGGATGATCTGCAGCCTATGGTGGCAGGAGTTGGGGAGGCTGACAAGCAGGGAGTTTGCATAGTCAAGCCTGGATGTTATGAATGTGTGTATGAGAGTTTCGGCAGCCGGGCGATGTTGCAGAAGTGGGGAAGACAGAACGGGTCATGGCACAGATGTGGGGTAGAAAGGATAGTTGAGGGTCAACCAGCACGATTCGCAAAGAGAAGGAAGTTTCTCCCGATGTCTCAAGGTCAATAATCCACCAAAATAAAATTGGTCACTCACTTTGTGGCTGTTTGTGGGACATTGCTGTGTGCAAAATTATCTACTGTGTTCATTTACTAAATGCGCTGTCACTGCGCTTTACAGTGGATCCTATAAAGTATTTTGAGACGTCCTCCTGACATGAAAGGTGCAATAACAAATGTAAGGGTTATGGCTATTTATTTTCTATTGAAGGGGAAATAGCGGTGGAATAGGCCAACTACTGGAACATATTTCAATCCCGTGAATTTTATATAAAAATACACAGCAGCACTTGGTGCCAGCGTTCTGTGGGACTTCTCACATTCTTGAAACCTTGATGCTAGTTTGAGGTGTTTGTTTGAACTCTGCTGCACTGGGTTACTGCAATCACTAAATGCCACAAAGCTTTTGCTGCCAGAATTGTCTGATACATAGGCCAGAGCTTCCAATCTCAGGAAACTTGAAAGCATAAACAATCTTGAAGTCTTTGAAGGTTCTGGCACCATAAGTACTGTGCAATAATAAACACACTCAGTTTTTTTTAAAAAAAGGAGGGGAGTAGAAGTGCTGAAAACGGCAGTATTTCAATCAAGCACGTGAGACCTATGAGACTAGCTGCCTGCCTGTCGCTCAGCTCAGTAACAACGGACCCTTTTTCAAAGGGCAGAACCTTGGCTGCAACACCCTCTGACTCACTACGTTCAGAGAGAAGTCGTGGTTACACTCTGAGAGGCAGTTTGTGACCGAGACTGTCCTCTGGCAGTGGACACGTCCCAATGCCCATGTCACAATGCTCCGCACTACCTCATGGCATTTTAGAATAATCCTCGCATTTGATATAGCGCCTTATCACGTTGTCAAGACGTCTCAAAGCGCTTAACAGAATATACTGTAAAGTGAATTGACTGTATATTTTGTGGATGAAACGAGGTACCCAATTGTGCACAGCAGTGTCCCACAAACAGTCATGGATTCAGTGACCAAATTATTATTTTTTTTTAAGGGATTATTACCCCCGGAAAGTGATCCGTCAATCGACTAACAACCAGGTTCTTACTTACTGCTAGCTAAATGGATGTGTGTAGTTCAAGGAAACTCGCCAAAGGTTTTGCCCTACCTGGGAATCGAACCCAGGTCCTTTTGCTTGTGAGACGAGTGCTCTAACCAACACGCTGTAGGACTCCCATTTTAGCGGGTAGACAACAGTAAACAGTAAATTCGTAGTAAATAGTCAAATATTTGGGCACTCGTGCAAATAAAGAGTGGGGTAACATTTTCTCCAATCCAAGCGGAACATTTGATGGAAGAGGTTTAAATTTGATTAAAAAGCTTTATCCGTTGCCTGCAAACCATGGTCAGTAATGTTTGCCTCTCCCCTCCCTCTAGTTGACCAGCCAAGACAAGACGCCTATAGTCATCCAGCGGGCCATGTCCAAGCACAACTTAGAAACTGAGCACCCAGAGGATTATCAGCTCATCCAGGTCATTTCAGAGGACAGAGGTGAGGGCCCTCAAAAATGTCGATCCCAGAAGATGAATGATCTGTTGTGTTTATCACCATTTGCCTTAAAACACGACCTGGGGGGTGACCCAGTTTCCATTGGAGTTGTGCTCCTTTCTGAACAAAGTCATCAAATACACTCACACCACATACACACACACACACACGCCCTGCCCCAAGCACAAACTGCAGGACCCAACGTACTGCTATTTAGATTTATTTTTTCCTAATTTTTTGGGGTCAGCCGTATGTCTGACACATGCATAAATCAATTCTGCTTGAATGTATCCAAACCAGCCAGAGTTCCACATATGTGCGCCACCTACACACAGAAACCTCGCTGTGTCTGGAATGGAATGTGCACTCTCTCCCTGGAGGGATGTACCCTGCTTTACCTAATTCTGCAGAACATTTGGTGCAAGTTGACCAGAGCCAAGGCTTGAGGACACCAGAGTGTGTGTTGAGGATATTGCTGGAGTTTAAGCAGCTAAAACTGCTCTCTGTAAGCAGCTTACACATGCAAAAGTTCAGTGGAATTAAACCTCCTAGAGTTAAGGTGCACATTGTTGGCTGATCCTAATGGGATTTTTTTCTACCTTGGAGAGAACACTTTTCTGGAACCTTTTCAGTTTAAAAACAATTTGGATAATTCAAAGCCATATTTTGCTTTTCTCTCTTCGTGTGTGGGAAGGGGGAGGGATCTGTTGGGAAGAATGTGATACAGTACAATTTCCTGTGACACCTCCATGTGTTTTCTATGTCCCTGCTGTTCTGCAGTGAACGTATACATTTGTCCTTGCATTTAATGACAGTGTCTGTAACATTGAAATGGCTCCAAAGTAATTCACGGGGAATTGCTCTCCAAGCGTATTGCCTGTTTTGTGTAGGAGAATATGTTTGTCTCTTGACGTTTCCAAGTATTTCAGTACGATCTTTAACTGGCAATAAACTTGCTTTCAATTATCACAACTCCAGCATGTGTAAAATATGATTTCAATCAAACAAGAGCCTTCAAGCTGAGTGTATGGCAGTGTAGTCTCATTACTCCCACACAACCATACGTTTGTGTCAGAAGGAACTGAGTGGTGGTGATTCGATATGGGGATGAATATAATTGGTACCAGCTCTTTAAAAGTTTAACTTGCGTTTCTTCTTCCTCACAGAGTTGGTGATCCCTGATAACGCCAATGTGTTTTATGCCATGAACACCTCAGTGAACTTTGATTTTATCCTGCGAAAAAGGAACCCGAGCAGGCAGGTCAAGCTGCGGAGTCGCTCCAGCTCCACCCTGCCCAGAGCGGCCAAAAAGGGAATACTGACTAACCGACTAAGCAAGGTCACCCTCTGAGGAGAGTACCTACCGCGGCAGCCTTGCCTGCCCACCTTCAGAGCTACCACTCAGTATTGAGCGCTGTAGAATGTATGAGATTGATTTGCCTTGGCAGTATTCTACCTTATTTACCTGAAGCGCACGGAACAGCATTGTCAGAACGTCCACAAGCCCCCCCTTTTGGAAAAGGAATGCTTACCTGCTATCGACCTGTTTTGCACAGCAGCCTTTGGGCAGACTCACAAGGCTGGACTTTGTACAGGGACCACAAAGATTCCCAGCATCTACCAGGCCAGCCGGTGAAGACTGTGTGCCCAACCACACACACACGCACACCCCCACACATACACACACCCAACACATACACCCACACAAACCTCTCCCCACCCCCAACCCCCCTCCGTGTGAATGGATTGAAAGAGATATGAAAATCTTTCTCGTACTCGCTAAATGTGCGGTTGACATTACTTTAGGTTCATTCATGGTAATTTTTATATACGATAAAGAAGGCAACATTGGCCAGATGATGAATGCTGAGACATGGTGTTCGGATTGGCCTCTTGACTCTTCAGCAGATCTTCCTGCCTTTTCTTCCCTCGCAGTTTAATCTCTTGTGGACACGACAGGACCAGTCACAGACTTGAAGATGATGGCAGGAGGCAGCGGTTGGGTGGGGAGAAAGCGTTATTGCCAATATTGCACTTGTTTTGAGGTTTGGGTATACTTTTCAGCTTTATACTGAACTGTTTTGTATGTATATTTGTAAATGTCAGCCTTTTTATTTTCCCATCAAAAAAAAATCTTTAAATAGATGCAGAGGGAACCACCCACCTGAGATCAATTTCGTCACTAGTATTTTCTCTCTCCTCGTTTTTTTAGATTTAATTACTTATTAAACTGCCATTATCTCACATTACATTGCTCATTTAATCTGTTTTTTGAGGGGAAAAAAAGCATCAACCTTTGCACGTCAACACCCTTTGAAAGTCGCCATTACCAATCGGGAACTAAATCATCGACCTCTTGATACATTTAGTGCAATCACTTCTCAGGTGTAGAACTGTGTTTATTATTGCACATGTGCATCCATCTATGTGTTTCAAACCACGTCTTCGAAGTAGCAAAAATGCCAAGAATGTCTTAACAGTGTTTGGGTGTTTTGTTTTAAATTCTGTTTTTGCACTATGTATAAATTGATCACCATGAGCAAGCAGGAAGCGTCTTCCAGCCTGTCATGTCTGTCCTCTGTCCTTTTCAGATACTATATTAAGTCTACGTGCCTAGATGCTGCAGAGAGGGTTTTAGAAAGGCTTATATATTTTTTATGTTTCTGTTCTCCCCCTTCTATCAATTCCCTGATGCTTACCCAGTAAAGAATTCTGTAACAACATCCTTTGCTCTAGAGTTGCTCAGGACAAGTAACTTCAAAGCTTAAAATTGGGCAACTGTGATACTTGGGCAAAGTTATTAAAATATGTCATCGGAGGGATTTGTCTCTTTGTTTTCTAAAACTTATACTTTTGTAAATAGTTTCCTTATATCTTGTATAATTATATTGTATAATTTCTGTTTAAAAAAACAATAGCGATTACTAAGAAAAAATAAATTCGACACCAAAATGAAAGTGTTTCAGGTACTTTTTTGTGTGGGGCGGGCAAGTTGTTGTTGGGTTAGATGTGACCAGGCTGCGTTCTGACTTCACTGCAAATGAACACAACTAATTCAGAACTATTGTGTTCTGTCACTGCCCTTGATTTATTCCAAAATAGGACCGCCCACTCTGCCCAAAAAGATAGGTTTCAAGATCCTCACCCTCTCGTACAAATGCCTTCACACCCCAGCACCTCCTTATCCTTCTGACCTGCTCATATTCACCCACAAAATATAAAATCAATTCACTTTCCAGTATATTCTGTGAAGTGCTTTGAGACGTCTTGAAGACCTGATAAGGCACTATATCAAATGCATGGATCATTATTATTATATGCCACCCCTCTGCCTGTTCCCTTCGCTCAGCTAACACAGGCCTGCTGCGCGTTCTCCGATAACAAACAGCGGAACTCTTGTCAGACAGTGTTCTCAATGGCACGCTATGTGGTTTTAGCTGAACCAATTCCAGCAGTACCCCCTCGCGCATTCTGGGGTTCCTGAGTCTCGGCTGGGGAGAGCGAATGCATTCCATTCCAAACACGGGAACGTTTTTGTGTGTGGGTGGCGTGCATATGTGAAACGCAGCCTGGTTTGTATTCTCTTAAGCGCAGTGATGGGTTTCTGCATGTGTCAAACAGCTGGCTTACCAAAAGTAAATTTCCTGTAATTTTTACTGCTGGTTGCTTGTCCTTAGTATTTTGCCAACCACAACAATAAGCTGTTGAAGTTAAAGGGACTTTTTGGTCGTCTCAAGCAGTCACAGGATGTTAGAGTGAAAATGGCAAGTGGAAATAAAAGTGGAAAATGGAAAGAGGACCTGGGCTCAAAACCAGGGTAAGGGAAAACGTTAGGCAAGTTTCCTTACTCCACTGTTTACCCAGCAGTAAGTAGGAACCCGGTTCATGGGCGATTGGCGGATCGCTTTCTGGGGGCAATAATCCCTTGAAAAAATAATAATTTGGTCACTCAATCCATGACTGTTTGTGGGACACTGACGTGCGCAATTGGCTGCTGCATTTCGCCCACAAAATATACAGTCAATTCATTTTACAGTATATTCTGTGAAGCGCTTTGAGATGTCTCGAAGACATAAGGCACTATATCAAATGCAAGAATTATTATTGTTCTATTATTGCATATGGCCAGGCTTTTGAAAAATACGTTCTTTACAAAGCAGGCATATCTACTCATAAGTAATGCCTCCATTATTGATAATGACTGAACGGTATTGCAGTAGGCTTCATCTGTTAAATCATTAGCCTAAGCAAATATAATGCCCCTGGGATTCTGACCTATACAATCCCCCCCCACCCCCGCCTGCATTGCAGAGCTACAAGCTGTTGCCCAATGCTTGCATCAGTTAGCACACACGCATTGCTACCCTCAACATCTGTGCCTTGGCATAACTTTGTTTTGCTGTTGGGTTAATTAAAATTCATACCTTGAATATTTTACTCGCTGATATTGGTGCATTTAACTTGCTAAAATGGTACCATCCCAGTATTTGGGCTTTCTTATTCTGATAGAATCAAAGAAATTTCCTGCACAGAAGCAGATGTTTAGATCCCCAGAAATCATACTCAACCTGTACAGTCCTCCGGTCAGGCTGCACCTGGAGTAATAACAGTAGTAAAAATAATTATAATGCTTGCATTTGGCACTACCTTTCATGTCATGAAGATGTCTCAAAGCACTTCAGTGTTTACGAATGCAATCTTAGTGCAGAATATACAAGGGGGCATCCATTGCAATTTACAAATGCAGAACTAAATGTCTTCAAGCTGCATTCTATTTTAAACTCCATCTGTCACGTTTTGTAGAAATTTGGAAATTGAGCGCTGACCATACTTGCATGCAACAGAAATGTACCAAATGACTGTGATAAGATGGTTATGGAAAATCCACACGGAAAATTGAAGCTTGTGTGCAAAAGTCGCACATGCGCCATGGTTCAAGCCCCATGGCGGGTCTTCAAAATCATATTGTCTAGCATGATATTCCAGTGCAATGCTGGGGGGGGGGGGGTGCGTTGCATTGTTAGAGGTGTCGTCTTTCAGATCAGACATGAGGTCCCAGATATCTGTTTCAAACAGACGTTAAAGATGCCATGGCGCTATTTCAAAAGAGAAAGGAGTTTCTCCCAATGTCCTGGCCAGCAATCCACTAGATAAATCTAGTCATTCACTTCATGTTTGTGGGACATTGCGATGTTGTGAACTGTTATATTATTTAGCTCAATTCCGTTTTGCAAGCCAGAAAATTGCAGGTGTCTGTACAACCCATTTTCAACACAAAATACACAACAGTCTGTTTTGCATTTGCAACTCAAAATTTAATGTGGCAGGATCACTTCATTCCATGTCTCAACTTTCAGCATTCTGAGATTCTATCCTGCATGAAGGGCGATATATAAATGCAAGTTGTTGTTGTAAAAGGCCTTAGGAATGTATTCAAAGTGATATAACCGCTCCCTTCGCGCACTATAACTTCTTGGAGCATTTCATAAGGACAGGGTTGGTCGCTGAGTGAGATAGGAGGCGGAGGTGACAGTAAGCATAATCTGAAGAGTTACGTCTTTAGGGACCTGATAAAGACAGAGAATGGGGGCAGGAGGGGGAGGATGGGGTAAGATGGAGGGGTAGACGGAGGGAGTTCCAGAGTGTAGGCGCATAATAGGGATTTGGGTGTCCTTGTACATCAGTCACAAAAAGTTAGTATGCAGGTACAGCAAGCAACTAGGAAGGCTAATGGCATGTTGGTATTTATTGCAAAAGGGTTAGAATACAAGAGTAGGGAAGTTTTGCTGCAACTGTATAGGGCCTTGGTGAGACCGCACCTAGAGTATTGTGTGCAGTTTGGGTCTCCTTATTTAAGAAAGGACATACTCGCCTTAGAGGGGGTGCAGTGTAGATTCACTAGATTAGTTTCTGGGATGAGGGGGTTGACCTATGAGGATAGATTGAGTAAACTAGGCCTATATTCTCTAGAATATAGTAGAATTAGGGGTGATCTTATAGAAACATATAATATTCTTTCGGGGCTTGACAGTGTGAGACTGTTTCCACTGGTAGGAGAATCTATAACTAGGGGTCACAGTCTTAAGATTAAGAGTTAGCCTTTTGAACAGAGTTCAAGAAACACTTCTTCACTCAGAGGGTAGTGAATTTATGGAATTCTCTACCCCAGAAGGCTGTAGATACTCAGTCCTTGAACATATTCAAGACTGAGATTGATAGATTTCTAAAGGATAGAAGGATTAAGGGATATGGTTATAAGGCGGGCAGATGGAGTTAGGTTAGAAGATCAGCCATGATCTTATTGAATGCCAGGGCAGGCTCGAGTAGCCGAATGGCCTACTCCTGCTCCTATTTCCTATGTTCCTATGTTCCTAATAGCTGACTGTGGCTTCATGTGACACTTTCCTTCCTGTCGGAAACCCGGAAAGATATTTCTGTGATTCAAATTTGTACAGTGTTGGCATCTGGTTAACCGCAGACACCCTTGTTTTATTTGGTTGCTATGAAGCTTCTCCAGGAAAGGTTACTTGCGGTCAGAAAGCACTCTTCTCTTTTGTGTTATGGAAACAGAAAATGCAGAAGTTGAGGTTCAATTCATGGCAGCTCAGGACTTTTTACAAGTGCTGACAATCACATGGCTGAATCTGTGCCTTTTCATATGGTTTAAGATCAATGTCCGAAATAAGGTGAACTCGAAAGAGAAATCTAGCCAAAGTGCAGCTCAAAACTATTGCTATCTTTTACATCTAATGCCATGCAGAACTCCTGTCTTCATGGCTAATTTGTGGGACAGTGGTTGCCACATTTATATGCAGTGTTTAAATGCCTCAACAAAGATTTTTAAGGTGATACAGCCAGTGTAATGATTATTATTGTACATTATTATCCTACAGCAGTGCCATTGGCAGCCTCTCTCGTATTGGTGGTCACAGTTAATAAAGGTGTTCAAATCAAAATAGCTTTGCATTTGATAATTCTCATTTTATAAATGGCCAAATGTAAACTCCAAATGTTTTAAAATTCTTGCTTTGGTTTACTGTGTTATTGTTAGGCATATTATCAAATTTCTATTAATCTTGTTCTTCTGAATTCCAAGTTCTCTTCAGTGTTAACTTGGCTGTCAGCTAAGCTCTCAGATGGTAGCATTCCCTTCCCTGAATCAGAAGATTGTGGGTGCAAACCCCACATCAGGACTTTGAGCTCGTAGCCTGGGCTTTGACATTTCAATGCAGTGCTAGGCGAGCATCACATTGTCTGAGGTGCCATCCATCAGGTGAGACATTAAACCAAGATTTTTGTTTGGATCCCATCTACCTATTTGGGTGGACGTTAAAAATTTCCTCCCCAAAATTGGTTATTTGCTTCTGATTGTGTGACACAAATTGGCTGCTGCGTTCGCCTACAAATAGGTCACTTGCACTTTTAAGAAAAGTCTTTAAAGCA